AGCGGTTCTAAATGCCTTTGAAGACAGGGTTCTTGAACCTGGAGTTGGCAGAATCCTCTATGATCCCAAACCTCCTGTCGTAACGGATATCGTTGTCTCTTAAAACTGTCAGGCTGTACTTAGTCTGGGAATGCAAAGCCAGTATCTCTGGGTTTAGTACTTGTTTAGCAAAGATGTTTATGTGTTGTTGGTTGGGTGTTTTGGGTTGTTTTTTTATAGATAGGCAGTGACGACTACTGCTTATCTCTGACTTTATTTCCCAGCCGTTTCAGCCCTCCCATCATCTGGTACCCTGGTCTTATATCGGCATTTTAAACAAACCAGTTAGGCGTAATCCCTCACAGCAAACCCCTTTTGGCCATTTACAACACCGTTTAGGAGATGACCTTGCTTTCTCCTTGAAAAATCCCCCGTGCATCACCAGTGCCTGGTCTCGGTTGGCAGCGTGGGCTGGGCTGAGCTCAGCCTTCCCCTTTCTGAACTGGTCTCCATAATTCAGGATACACATCAGCTTTTCAAGCCCTAAACACCAACCATCCCAGCTCCCAAACCGCCCGCTGCAGCCCTGGTTATCCCCCATCACTGCGAAGCCCAAAGCGCGGGTGATTCCCTTCCCAAGCCCTGGTGCTGAGTCTGCTCAGGATGGGAGCAGCAGCAGCAATGCCTGGGGATGCTCGCATCAGGATCTGGTCAAGGGGGAGGAAATCTCGAAGATTTCAGCTCTTTTCAAACAGCCTTGGCTCTCCTCTCTTTCTGGTGGCAGAAACCACCAGCTGGGGTGAGTGCCTTGCATCTTTAATGCCACATCCAGCTCATTCAAAGTCTCCTTAACCCACCAGCAAAAGTGGTGCAGAGATAACGCTCCTAAAAGCACCAGAATTGGCTCCTTCACCAAGTCCTGTCACACCCTCACCCAGCCGAGCGGGACCAGGCAAATTCCAGACCTTTTGCAGTAAACACCCAAATATCCAGACCTGAGGCTGGGCAGATAAAGGACCTATCGGTTCTTCAAAGTAGGGAGAGATCAGCTACCGCTATTTTTTCCAGTATGGCAAGCAGGGATGCAGTAAAACCCACGCTATATTCCTGCATCACTGATTTTCCTCTGTTCCCAGTGAGTAATGATCACGAAGCCGTTAACAGCTCCTTGACCATCGAGCTGTATTATTTCTGCTCAGCGAGGGCTAGCGCAGCGCGTTGCCTGCAGTGTCAACACGGTAATCTCCGCGAGCCTCTTGCGGCGGGGTTTGATGTGCGGTTTCTGTTTCTCAGGTAACAAGACAGAGAAATCTATCCCCGTTAAAGCGCAGACCCCTTCCTCTGTGCAGCTGGCGAATCTGACGCCGGGGATGATGTACAAGCTGTGGGTGTTCCCCATATGGTCTAGCCCCAGCGAGCACTCGTACATAACCTTTACCACCAGCTCAGGTGAGACGCGGGGTGCGTTTCCGCGGCATGTCTCATCCATCACCGCCGGCGTCATCTGCGCGGTGGTTTGACCATGACTGCATGGAAAAAACCCTCATCCGACCCCCCCGGCAGCCCCCTGCATCTCTGCCCTCCTTAAGGAGCTGTCGGGAGGTTGCTCCATGTTGCACGGAGGAGGAGGAGACCCCCAGGAGGGGATGGGGAAGGAAGGAAGGGTCTGTAGGGAGGGTGGAGGACACGCTCATGTCACTGCGTGTTTGCACTTCACACGTGCGTTGCTGCTCGGGGTGGTGATGGTGGTGGCTTTGGTACCCGAAAGTGCACACGTGTCTGGCCCTAGGTTATGGCATGAGGGGAGATGATGGTGATGGGATGCAGGAAGGGAAGCGATGGGATGCAGGAGGGGAAGCGATGGCGATGGGATGCAGGAGGGGTGGTGACGGCGATGGGATGCAGGAGGGGAAGCGATGGGATGCAGGTGAGGGCAGAACTGGGAGGAGGTGGAACCTCCAAAAGACCCCGGTCAGGCACACGTGGTGCACACATAAGGCTTTCCATCTCCCAGGTCTGTTCCCTCTGGCAACTTCACATTTAATTGCACGAGCAATTTCCCAGGCTCAGCACCTGAGTGGTTTTTACGGCTTTCTAATTATGGGCTTCCTACGCTGCCCACCAAATGCCAGAGAAACACCCATATTGGCTTCCACAGGCAACGAGCTGGGCTTTATGTGTTTATAAAACTTCACCGCTCGCACTTGATGAGTTCCAGTAAATCAAAACAGCCATAACTTTGTATTCGCTGGGGGTTTTGCTGTAGGAATGTGTGCACGCCGCCTGTCAAAGCGCGGGTCTAAACGCTAACCTGACAAACCATGCAGCAAGCAGCACCAGAGCACCCACACTGACAGGTGTGGTAGGGAGAGGCCATGCTTTTCAGAGAACTGAAATTATTTTGCTCAGATCCAGCTGTGTAATGGAAAGCTCAAGCACTTACCAGTCTCTTTGCTGAGAAGTGCAAAAAGGAAAATGTAATTCACAGCCGGGAGCAGCAGCTCCCCCCATGCCCCCCATGCACATCTTATTCGGTGTCCAAAAATTTGGCAAGCCATAACGCCACCGAGTAATTCTCCGATGTGCTGAGATGATCCGGGGACAGATGGCAACCGCTGGTGTTCCTGCTTGTCTAACACTGCCCAGCACTGAGCAATAACTAGCGAGTGCTGACCTTGGCCCTGTCCCGGGGTCCGATGTGCCCCCCCAGACCCCTCCATCACCCCGTGACGTGGTCAAATCCACAGCACAGCAGCCATGGCACACGCTCAGCTTTGCAGAGACGCGTTTTCCAAAGGGATTTATTTTCCCCGTGTTTCCCCCATCGCTCTGTTGCTGTTCGTGCCTCAGGAGGCTCGTGCCCAGCAGGGCTGGGCTCGCCGACACGCGATGGGCTCCAGCCTCCTCCTCCATCGCAGAGGCCGCTCCTGACCCCAGATGAATAAAAGAGCCGGTTTCTCAATGCAGAGGTTGCTCAGGACAGCTCCAGCTGCAATGCTGCACCCCCAACTTTGTTTCTACTTCTGGACCCTTCCCTGCCTCAGAAATCCCCACCACCACGACAGCCCCTCAAGCCCATACCAGGCACTGTGCCTCCATTCCCAATTATTCCTAACTGTTTCCCAATCCGGACCCGCCTCTTTTCTTTTCTCGCCTGCTTTTCACCCACTTTGGGGTCTGGGGGGAGAGGGGCAGCCCCCTGCACAGAGCAGGAATCATTAGAAAGAAAGAAGGGGGGAAAAAAAGCAATATCCTTGTCTGACTGATGCTGGCAGTCTCAGCATCTCTATTTTCTGTAATTGAGGGGTTCCTGCTGGTATCATCATAGAGACGAAAGGATGGGGACACCTTTGTCCCTGTGATAGAGGCCGATCGGTGACCCGAGCCCCATCACTGTGGGGTGCACGGAGCTGTCGCCGTCCCTGCATGCATAAACGCTGCAGATCCATCGCTTCGCTGGCTGGATGCTGCTGACACCAGCGCTCGGCCCCCGCTGACAATCAGCCATCAGGAATGCTTCTGACAGAAAAAAACCCATCATTTTTTGCGGGTTTTGGCTTTTAATGCTTTGCAAATAGCTGTTCTAAGGGTTTCCTCAGTTTGGGGGTGGATAAATAAGAAGTCCACCTGCACTGTGGCTGCAGGACGCTGCACTCCAGCTTCGCTCTCAATTAACCAGCAGCTCCATAACCCAACCGAGCTCCTTCCAGTCGTGAAGGACGCTTCAAAACCACCAACAGGGCTTAACACAAAGAGGTCTTCCACATTAAATTTAACAAAAACCATCCCCAGCCCGTACAAACCCTGGGAAGGGAATCACGCAGGGCTGGAGCTAGGGAGACTTGACAAAGACAAAAACTGGGGGGACAATCAGCAGAAGTAACGTAAAAATCTTCATATGCTATTGGCATATGAACTACGACCATTGGGTAACGTGTTTTCTGCCAGAAGATTATAATTAAGTTTAAAAAAAAATAGTCAGTCAGTGCAATTGCGGTTCAGATCAATACCTGTTCGATTGCACAGCTGCTTTCCACTATTTCCCCTTCCATTAAAGCAAATCAAAACATCCTCTCTGACAGCCAGGTACTTAATCTTCCCTCTCTGAATGCTGCAATGACAGTCACTCGTTTACTCTAAATGCAAGATTGCTGCCACTGTAATTTTGTCGTCATGTGTTGCTTTTTTGGGAAGGATGGCAATTAGACCTCCACCTCGGCAATAGGCAGTGCCACCGTCCCCCTGCAACATCCCCCGGTGACCTGCTACCCAAAACCCTCCCTCCCTGCAAAACTCAACCCAAACCCATGCGGTGGCACAAAACCACCCGCCTCTTGGGCTGCTTTCACATTGAAGACCCCCTTATTTCTCCCTCAGCGCTGGTTTCAGTACAAATCCCATCCCATCAGGGCTCTTAACGTGATTTTTTTCCCCATTTCGAAGCGCTCCAGTAAAGCTTTCTTCCCCTTTCCTCCCCAAGCACTCAGCTAATTGAATCCAGTTCGCAGCTCCCCTCCCTCATAATCTCATTCTCTCCATTACAAAAAGTGCATCTTCAAGGGCTGCGTGAGCTCAGGTCGTACCAAAGGTAAATATTAAATGCAGCAGGGAAAAGGGAGCCAAGGCACCGTTAGGCAGCCACTTCCACCCAGCGCCGCTCATGGACACAGAGCATTCAGGGTTTAACATCATTTTTTTTAGCAATTTCTACCTTTTCTCATCCTTCACCTCTTATCTGTGAACGTCCTTGTCACGGTTTGGCTGCAATTACCTCCTGGCAACGTGGCTTAAATGTCATCCTAAGAAAGCACCTCTTCTCTTGGGCTCAGTTTTGATGGGATAAGTACGCGCTCACCGTCCTAAAATGGTGTGGGTTGGGAAACGTTGCCAATTCAGCCCATTTTTAAAGTCGTTCTCTCTTTTACAAGAGCCTTTCATTCAGTTTACGCTATCAGAGGGCTGTCTTTTACGCTTTCTTTGCAAGCACCGTCTTGTTTATCGTCACATGGGCACCAAAAAGGATGCTCACACCGTCCTGCCCATTTAAGGCAAATCCCCGCTAAATCCCAATTCAGTCCCAGCCGGCTCCGATCTCCCGTGTTCCTACCAGGAACACCTCAGTTTGTGCTGCAGCCTGGTTAAATTTAGCCCCCCCGCCGCGCTGAAGGTTATTTTCTCCTCTGCTCTGTCTCGCTGAATACAAAACGCACGGTGATGAGAGCCAGAAAATGCCAGCTTGCTGCTATTTATAGGAGCCGGATTTGTCTGACCGCGTACGGGAGCTGCAAACACGGGTCCAGAGTACGTGAGGGAGGGCACGGCCATCAGGAGCCGCAGCGTTGTTTGGGGGAACGAGACACCTCCTTGCTTGGTGTTAATTGTATTAATATTCAATAGCCCTGGGAGGAAGCTGTGGCAGAAGGAGTTTGCCCCAGGATCCCGGTGCTATCAGCACCTCTGAGGCATTGGCTGAGTCTTGGGGGGCTTCCACAAGTGCTCCCCTCAGCCCTGGAGACTCCCCCATGGTCACCCAAAGGCAGCAGAGCCACCACCCATCACCTCTGCAGCTTGGGCAAGGCACAACCCAGGTCCATCCCAGCCCAAGGGTGCAATGAGCTCTTCAGGCTCAGGTTGGATCCACATTTCTGTCCCACTTTGGCAGTTTTCGGGCACAGGAAACGAACGATCAAATCTGTTACCCAGCTTCTTTTGCCATTATTTGCAATGCACTTTTCTCCCCGGTCCGTGCTAGGTTTTACTTTATGCTGTGTCCCTGTGCTGTTTGTAGCCCCTGCTAAAACACTGAGTTGACCTACCGCCACAAAACAAAACCGAGCGAGCCACAGATGCTGTGCTATGGTCACAGATAACCTGGTCAGTACACACAGAGAGACACAGAAACGCAGCGATAATTAAACCCGTGGGCTGAATCTTGCTACTCTTCTATTTCCCTCTGTGGTTTTGGTCCCTTATAACATTTTTCCCTCCCCTTTTGATTTTCCTCCCAGCTTATACCAAGAACCACGTGGACATCGCAACGCAGGGCTGGTTCATCGGGCTGATGTGCGCCATAGCTCTCCTGGTCCTGATCCTGTTGATCGTCTGCTTCATTAAGAGGAGCAGAGGTGGGAAATATCCAGGTGAGAGCATTGCACTGCATGGCAATCGTTTAACGCTCATGGTTTAAACATCTCCAGGCTCCCAGGGACTAATCAAATCGTATTGCTCTCAGATAGATGCTTGTGATTACAAGGGTTTTTCTTTCTCCGTAGTGGGAACACCATTAGCGGGAAGCATTGCAGTTAATTAAAGGTCGGGCGAGGGCTCTGCGCTGCGCAGGCTTTCAGCAGCGGAGCCGGACACTCGCGCTATGCACGACCCAACTCTGCAAATTCGCTTGTCCTCATCTAGGAAGAGATCTTTTCAGGCGAAAAAAATCTCATTACGTTTTTTGCAAAGCGAAGATAAGGCTTGAGAAAATTCACAAATTAATACATCCTGTCTCGCCGCCCTGGTACCACCGCAGCCGCGTCCTTTGCCAGCCCTCGAGGTGCGGGTTTTTTACCGAGCCCGTGAAAAGCCGCACTTCACCCCGCAGGGATTTCACAAAAGCAGCCCCAACGCCGTTACTGCCTCGTAAAGCTTTTACCTTCCGTACTCGTTTTAACGCAATCCTTGGGGCTGTGCTTGTTTGCAGTGCGCGACAATAAAGACGAGCACCTAAACCCCGAGGACAAGAACGTAGAGGACGGGTCCTTCGACTACAGGTACGGCCCCCCCGGCATGCGTCCCCCCACGCCCCCCCATCATCACCGACCTCACCGCTCTCCCCCCGCGGTGCCACGCAGCCTCCTCAGTTATTCCTCCCACCTTCCTCCTCCTGCCTTCTTCCCCTGCAAGTCCTCTGCCAAAGGAGACGTTTCCTGCCTCAAACCCTGGCAGAGCCACCAGGGATGCTCCTAAGGTTCCCTCCATCCCCCGTTTCAACCCAGGAGGACCAGTGCAGGCAGGGAGCTGGGACTCTGGCATCAGCTACCCGGGACACAGCCTTTAGGAACTCAAACACATCCAAAAACCCCTCAAAACCCAACAAAATTTAAACTCCTATGGATATTTAAGGTGTATCGCCCTGTAGCTCAGCCCCTCTCCCACCTATAAGAGAGTATCCAGGGGAAAATGCCTGAAGTTATGTCTGAACACATGGAAGAGCACGGATTTGGGGGTCTGCCTGCATTCCCAGCAAGGCTTTTCCACAAGGTCCCCAGGCAAACCCTACAGAAACACCGCAGGGCTGCAGCACAGCCCCGCACTGATGCTGCTACAACCTCTGATTTCCTCGCACCTCCCCTCACACAAAATTGCACCCTTTGAGGAGCAGCAGTGCCTGTTTCCACACTCCCCGGGTATTTCAGAAAGGGGCAAGCGCTGCCCCCAGCCCCCTCACGTGCGATGCGGCGGCCGTGGGCCCTGGCTGCCCCCGAGGAGCAGCAGCAGGTAGCGATGTCGGGTCGCATTGGGCTGCCCACACTTGACAGATGACGGGGCTGGATCACAGCACACCCAGCTCACCCTACAGCGGGCTTTGCTCTCCTTTAAAGGATTAATGTGCACCTTTCCATCTGAGCTGGACCCAAAGCCCAATTAGGCTAGCAGGAATTTTTCTCCTGACTTCAAAAGAGGGGTTAATTAAACCTCATGTCATTACCAATAGCCATAGCATTACAAACTGAAGTAGCAGAGTTAGGAAGACCTTATTTGCGATTCAGTAAGGGATGTAACAAGACACACATGCTCTGCCAAAGACTTTAGAGGAAGCAAATTGAATATACCTGCCTGCACGCAATACAGAAATGGAAGCAGAGCAACTGCAGCCCCAGCACGATCACATTTACATTGTCATAGCGTGGTAATTCCATTTCAGTAGCAACTCCCCTTCTCCAAAGGATGCTGTAAGCCCACAGCTCGCCAGCCTTCCATAGCACAATACAGAGTACAAATACACCCAGCGGGAACCAGAACTAACAGCACGTTGTCGGAAAAGGTCACCATCCCTTATCACCCTAAAAAACACCCGGGGGCAACACCTTCCTCACCCCCTGTGAGAGGTGGTTATCACTCGAGTGGTGCAAGCATTGCATTAAATCCTCATCCCGATCGTAGTTGGGAGATGCTCCCTTCAGGTTCCTGGCTGGGACAGAGATAACAGAGAAGAAATGAGCTCAGCCTGGGCCTTTTGCAGGCTTTGCCCCGGGTTCAATGCATCTCTTCCCAGGCAGGACTATACAAGGGCAGGCAGTGCTCCTTGTAGATACCAGCCATAACCACAACCATAGACAACACAGTCAGGGTCCATGATTTGACCTAAACAAGTCCCCTTCACGTTCCGAGTCACCATAGGGATCCTCTCGGCTCCCAAATTTGTGGGATGGTGTAAACACCACGTAGCAAGCCTGAAACACCACCCAGGAGCTGCCCACACACAACCCCGCAGCCCAGCCCCAGCTCCTGGGTCTCAGATGAGGTCTCCACAGCCGAGCTTCTGGCAGTACGCACCGATTCCAGAGATCCGCTTCTCAAGAGCCCACCAAGGCGCTTGCAGTCATGGCCTCCTCGCCCCCATCGCTGCCAAGGCAACTGCATCGCCAGGGACCACTTTGCCTTGCACAGAAGGAAACCCCAGCTCTTGGCATGGCCGGCAGCATTGCGGCTGTCAGTGATGCTGCGTTTACTGCCCAGGCACCATCCAAGGGGCGTTGCTTTCCAGGCAATGGGAAGGAATGGGGTAAACCCTTCATCCCCCTGCACTGCTGCTTAGCTGAAGCTCAAACTTGTATTGCCAGCCCCATTCCCAGGAGTTCGCAAGCTGAAGGCAGAAGTCAGTAAAAGGGCAACAACCAAGCTCCAAGATGCTCCTGCATTTTCAATCACGCTGTCCCATGGACTACATGGGGAAAAAACCCAATCGAACAAGAACAGCAATGAAAAACCACTCCAACATCCCATAAACTTTGCCCCCTCCTCCTCAGGAACAACAGGTTTCCTGGAGGAAGTAATAGGAGGCTTCCTGCAAGGAGGCAGAAAGGAAGGTGAACCTGAAGGATTGATACGAAACGCTGTTGGCTGATTAAGATTCAAAATGATTGCGATGTTAGGCTCAAGGAGGCTAGCAATTAGTATTTCAAGCGAGGACAGGAATTGAGCTGACGTGAGTTCTTCATTGGTTTCCCTCCCCACCTCCACATAGCATGTCTGATATGCTCTCATCATATCTCACGTCCTTAATGCCCTGTGCATGCAACTTTCAAATCTCTGCAGCCTATAATTAAGAGATACTGTCACATCTTTCTGTTCCACTAACAGAATAATGGTTTTCCTGAGCAGAGGCTAAGCTGAGAAGCTTATTTTCAAAGCAGGAGACCATTATCCTTCAACAATGTTCTGTGCCAGTGACTGTGCCTCATTATACCAAATGTTTCAGCTTCATGTAGGGGAGCCGGCTGGAAACCCCGGCCACTGGTAAGGGAAAGTTGAGGGGTTTTACCTCTGCTTGAGTGGTTTGTACCTCCTGGACTCCAGTTCAGATTCAGGATAAGCACAGGTTACACAAGCGCCCGCTCGCCCTGCATGGACCATCTCAGCATCTCAGACAGGAGGACACAGAGCCATGCCCTGAGCCTGCCGAGGGGAGGAGAAGCCTGGCACAGCAGGGTCAGGAGGTGCAGGGTTGTTCACAGGTAACATCACACTGGTGCGTGGCCATACCGTGAAAACCCAGCCAAAAGCTGGAGGGGAAATCCAGCGCCCGTTCACTTGGTCCTTGTCCTGCTGCACATTAATCCCTACAGCCGCTCACTGATGGACTTCAACTGCGAGCCCTTTTTGAGCAGCCCCATGGCAAACAAACAGATGATAGCAAACAGCCCCATGGCAAACAAGCAGCCCCCATCCCACCTGCACCGCCAGCTTGGGATCAGCTCTTTTAGGGAAGCCAAGGAGGCCCATCCAGCTGTGAACAATTACACTGGCTCCATTTGGTATAACGAGGCAATCAGCTCCACGAGCAATGCAGAGACGTTTCTTTTTGGTTTTTAGCACTGCCCCTGTAAATGCAGACCTCATCATATCTCTCTCTGATCAGGCTCTTTCTGCTTCTCTCTGTTTTATTCCCATTCTTTCTTCTCCTTTTCACCTGGTCTATCCACATGGACCATGAAGGTCTCTTGAAAGGTAGGACCACGTGCTGCCAGAAGTCCGGCACATTTAGCTTTTTTCATTTTAATTTTCCTTCCTTTTAGCTATTTATTTCTTTAGAGCTGAAACGATACCTTCCCCTCCCTATTCCCGTCTACCTGCCTCCACCTAACACAATAAACAAGAACCCCCTAACTCCAGCCAGCATCGGGGGTACCCCCAAGTCCATTGGGTTGCACCTTGCTTGGAAATGCTCTGTGGGCCGGGGGCACCCCCGAGCGCCAGCCAGGCCCCCCCCAGCCCCACGCTGGAGCAGCTGAGCCCCCCGGTGCAAGGTTGGACCTGGGGACGCTGCCCCGGGTGCATTCAGCACGGACACGAGCAAAAAAAAACCCTTAAAAAGTCCTAAAAAGATCCCAAATCTGCCCACTCTTTGTTTCAGTCCTGAAAATCCTCCCTCCAGCTCAAGCATCCCCCTCTTCTCAATGATTTATGCAACTCAAGACGTTTCCCAAATGGTTTTCTTCTGGGTGCTCTGGTTCTCTAATGCACACATCAGCAAACCCCATAGAAATCCATTTTAACAGGGTTATAGCGCATCAAGATGCTGATGAATATCTGCTTCGCCCTCCTAATGCACTAACAGGAGAAATAGTACTGGAGAGAGGTGAAACCAGGGGGCAGGTTCGGGAAACGCATTGCTGGGGTGTTTGGTGCTGCAAACCCCCCCAGTTAGGGAAAATCTGGCTCCAGATTCAGCTTTAACTGAACCCAAACCTTGGGCAAGGGCACTGCAAACGAAGGGGCCTGGCTTTTGCCGCTCTCTACTTGGCGTTTATTGAGCTTTCTAACCGGCAGTCCCGCTTGCAGACCGAATTCTCCTCCTCCATCCCCCAGAAAGGAGCCACTTTCAAAGCTAACAACTTATTTTAATTTATTGCGATGCCAAGTTAACACAAGGCCTCAAATCTTGGTTTTGTATTATCGCTAAATTCACAAAGTGCTGATAAAAGGAAATGCGTTAGAAAGCTGCGCGCTGTACCGAGGGGTACCAAATTCCTCCCCCCGTAGGGAGCTGATGCCATTAATTAAACGGCACGTGAGAAATGTATTTAATTCCTCCCTTAAAGAGCATTTAGCCCAAGCAAAGCGTTTCTCGTGCCTTTGCGGGAGGCAAACACCTTCGTTTGGGCACCGACCATCAAGGGCTGCAATCAAACCCCACTAATTTTTACCGATTTTAATTAAAATAAAGGAGCAGGGTAGCGTGCCATGCTGGGGAGTCCCCAGCTAAAACAGCAGCAAAGAGCCAGGCACGGAGGTTGGAGGACAAATGTTTAAGGCACAGATGCGGTACCTTTAGGAATACCACAGAATCCCATGCTGGACATGAGATCAGACACAAACTAAGGACTGGTTGATATGAAAATTAATATTTATATATATACAGCAATGCACTCTCATCCTCCACGCAGCGTTATCTGTATTTATGAGATACCAGCCCTTGCCCTCCAGAGAGAAAACAGCTTTTCCCCTATTTTTTTGTGTTAAAAGCATTTCTTTAAAGGGTTGGTTTTTTTCCCTGTGGGTCAGACTACTTATTTTGCAGTGACCTGGCTTAATCTTCCTAGCGAAAAAGAGAAAAGGCTAAAGTATTGAGCAAACAAGCTTAGATGCTCAGAAATAAGCTCGGAAAGGTAAATTCCCATGAGTTTTGGAAGCTGCACAGAACTTGGCATCCTCTACGTGCCCCTCGCGGTGCTTTGAGAGTGCTCCCCATTGCATGTACCTGTCTAAACAACCAAAGGGGGGTTTGCAGGGAAATCCAGAAACAAACCTTGCTAAACCAGGTTACACCAAGGCGGGCTAAAACGCTAAGAGAAAGAGGAGAATGTGAGCAGTGACAAGGAAAGGATATTTATAACGTACATCCAGTTGGACCGATCCAAGCACCATACGTGATACAGGTCAAACAAAATTGCTTTCTAAAAAGATAAAGCGTGAAGGTTGGGCTTGCAGAAACGGCAACCCCAGCCCCACTGCGGGGGCAGCTGTGGGTCTCCTACATGGAGGCTGCATCCCCACCTTCACGCCCACATCAGACACACCGTGACTTGTTGTCTGTCACCAGAGCATCCCAGATTTGGGGTCTCCAGTCAGCACGTTCGCACACTGGATTTATTTTTTGAATATCCAGCCCTTGGGTGCAGGTTGTGAGCCCCGTTTCTCAACCCTTACTGTGTCTGTCTGTCCTCTGCTACCCAGCGATGAAGACAACAAACCCCTGCCCAACAGCCAGACCTCCCTGGACGGCACGATAAAGCAGCAGGAGAGCGACGACAGCCTGGTGGACTATGGAGAGGGGGGCGAGGGGCAGTTCAACGAGGACGGCTCCTTTATCGGGCAGTACACGGTGAAGAAGGACAAAGAGGAGACCGAAGGCAACGAGAGCTCGGAAGCCACCTCCCCAGTCAATGCCATCTACTCCTTGGCGTAGCACGATGCAGCGAGACCACAAACAGCCTGGGGTGTTCGTAGTGGATGGGGGTTAACCAACAGCCGCCGCCGCCACTACCTCTGACAGAAACGTGCGAATGAAACCAACCGACGACGACAAAAAAATATATATTTAAAAAAAAAAAAAAAGGAACAAAAAAGGAACAAAAAAATCCAAGCAAACAGGCAGACCAGGTGGCTGCCGATGCCATCTTATCCTTAGCAAACAAGCCAACGGCAAGGACTCCCGGGGCGCAGAGGGGTTGTAGCTGTAGCTGAAATTTGGGCTGCGCCAGAGGGGCTATAGGAGGAGCAGGATGCTCGGGTACCCCGGTTTTGGGCTGGAGAAGGAGTGGAATGCTTGAGTACCCCAGTTTTGGGCTGGAGGAGTGGGATGCTCGGGTACCCCGGTTTTGGGCTGGAGGAGTGGGATGCTCAGGTACCCCGGTTTTGGGTTGGAGGAGTGGGATGCTCGGGTACCCCGGTTTTGGGCTGGCCCCAGCACCCAGAGCCAGCCCAGCAGGGGCACGGTGGGCTCGGCCACCCAGGCTCCCCGAGGCCCTTTTTGTTCTTTTGGGAGTTAAAAATTCTTCTTTTTAATCTTTACAGGAAAGTTCCAGAGAAGAGGGGGAAGGAGGGGAAAAGAAACAAAAACTATAGAGTTTTGGGAAGGGAGGAGGGGTGAGCGGGGCCTGGGCAGAGCAGCAAGAGCAGCATGAATGCGTGAAAGGAGGAAAGTGGTGGATCTTTGGGTGACACTGCCATGGCACTGAGATGTCCGTCCTCATGGCAGCACCTTGCCCATCGCCCCTCCCAAATGAGTTGGCACCGTAACCTCCTTCCCGAAAGATCAAGCAGCTCCTATGCAGGGAAGAGCAGGTCCCCCCACTTCCCTTGCTCTGTCCCCTGGCAAAGCCCATGAGGAGGTCACATCGTGGGGCTCCGGAGCATCCTCGGAGGACAAGAGGTTGCACAAGAGTTTTTGGGGTTTGGGAAGGGTCAGGCGCCGCTCCCCGCCAAGCCCAGGGTAACAGCATTGCTTGCCTGGGTAACTGCAGGCAAAACATTTTGGTTTAGTCTTTGCTTTGTAAGAATTTGGGGGAAAACTGCCCCCAAACCATGCCTGCTTTCTTTTAAAGGCAACTCCATAAATCTTATGTAGCAAAGAGGTAGTGGAAGCAGGACCAGTATTACCACAGGCTGAGGGGACCAGAAATCACTTCTTTTTAAGTCAAAGCCACCCGGCCAGGATGAGAAGCACCCGCCAGGACCGGGTGGGGATCCCCTGCCATCACCTCGCATTGCAGCTCCCGATCAGCAGCTTGAACGGCCCAGGGATGCGCATCCCTCGGGATGAGACCCAAGGCTCTGCACCCGAGGTCCAGGGCTCCCCCGGGCACCGGGGAGCAGCCAAAGCGACATTTTCCACTGACCTCCTCATTTCTGACAGTGGCCTTGCCCCCCTCCATCAATCAGCCTGAGCGAGCGCCTGCACCGTGGGACTCCCCTCCGCTGTCTTCTCTACATATCAGGACAACCCGCGATTTAATTTAACCCGTTAACACACTGTAACGACGCGTCTCGGATAGGAGTGCTCCTTCACATGCCTTATACAGCTTCAGACTTCCCATGAAGTTTAATGAACTGATACCGTTCCCCCACCGCTTACGCGCCCCTAATGTGATGGTCTTCGATCCGCCAGAGCAGTAGGAATAGGAGGCCTGGGCAGCTCTCCCAGCGGAGACAGCATGGAGCATTCTAGAAGGTAGAGGTTTATACCAGACCGTACGTAGCGGCCAACGCCATGTGTATTCTCCCACTTCCTGCACTTTTGAAACCAAAGGTACCTTCGCTGAGAGAGATCGCGTTTCTTCGGACCGTTTCGCAGACGCCGAACGACGTTAGGATGGATTTTTCTTTCGTTCCTTTTTCTAGGGAGGATGGTTTTTTTTTGTTCAGCGTAATGGATTAAATGCAATAGGATTAATGCAATTCTTTTAGCTTTCAAGCTGGTTTGCTATGAAGACGTATTGCTAACAAGAATACTTCTACTAATACGGATTGTCGAGATGGACTTTGCCACCTTCTTTAAAGCTGCTAACGGCACAACTGTCCTGCGCTTCGGGAAGAGCCCGGGCCCGCTCAGCACCCACTGCTGGCTCACACGGCGGCAAGGGCAGAGAGCCAGATGCAAACCACACAGCAGAGGCGTTGTGTGCACCACACAGGAGGGTTTAGGCTGCTGTTACCCCCCAAAAGCTGGGGGAGCTCCTGGGGGTGTCCCCATCACCGGGGTCCTCCATATGTGTTAAGTCACAAGGTCGTGCTCCGTTACCCTCAGTGTAAACACGTCCATGCCACTCGCCACTGATCTGGTGTAAGGAGAGCATCTCCCAGCCCGTCCCCAGGACACGCAGCAGCTGTATTTGGTTTTTAAGCAAACACACAAAGCCAAACGTAACGCAGCCCTCGGCCACGGGGATAATCGCTTCCCAAGCCTATGGCTGTCCTCACAACATTGAGTTTGCATCACTTCTTGCCCAAGCACTGGTGGAAACCAGGAGAGAAAGAAACGACAGCTTCTGCTGCGGAAAAGCCTCTGCCACCAGAGTCGGGCATCGTCATTCCCACCCAGCGCCCCCATCCTCGCTAACGGGGACCACGAGACCCCGGGCAACACCCCCAAACCTCAGGAACGCTGGTCATTACTGGAAGCAGGGCGGTCTGTGTCATGTACCTGTATCACGTGCCATTGATATTAAAGCCTGTGTTTCTGTCCTGTCATTAACCACCGTTTTACTGAGCAAACCTCGTCGCATCCCTTTGGAAACGGAGAATTATTTCACCCTGTAGCTTTGCAGCGTGTGCCCTGTGGCACAACTGGGCAAGAGAGGAGGGAAGGAGCTGGACTTGGCCCAGTTAGTCCTGTCCTAACCCCAAAAAGTCTCGTAATAGCAATTAAGAGCCCTGCCACCACGTTAAGTAACCAGAAAAGGAAGGAGATGTCTGCAGAGGTGGGCAAACAGCTTGGTGTAAGGCACTTGTAGCCTTGAATTGGCTTGGTGTAGAAATTACTCAAATATTGTAAGGTAAAGTCAAAATTTTAACTTTTTTTTTTTTAAACTTCACCTGGAGTTTTGCAGCCCAAAGAAAACTCTCGCTAAGGTCAAAACTCATCACGAGCCTCACATTTTGTACTCCCTTCAATAAAGATCCAGCAGATGTTTGCACGTGCAGTTACTGCATCACGGGGAGCAAAGCCCTCGCTTGCTCCCACCACCAAAACCCCGCAGCTCAGGGTGACCCCACACCGCCCCAAAACACATTCACCCCCCGTTAACACCCGGGGCCAGGCTGCACCCACACCAGCGCCATGGCCACGCTCCTGCCCAGCGATGTCCTTTGGGCACCAGGACATGGATGGAGACCCCATCCAACGAGGACCGGGGGTCTTGATGGGTGTTGCTCACCCATCTCTGCCTGTTTGGGGGTGCACCATGCTGGTGGCTGTGTCTGCCTGTCCCCAGTGTCACCCCATGGGAGCTGCTTTTCTTCTCCAGCCCCAGCTGTCCCTCAGTGGGGGGAACATCAGTTTTCACCTGTAGTGTAACCCCCCGGAGCAGCAGAGGTGCTCGGGAGGGCCCTGTATCAGCCACCCCCTGCTCTAAGGGCCTGTCCCCATCACAGGGGCAATCGTCCCTCTCTGGGATCTGCACGGCCTCGCTGGAGCAGGGCACGCTTTCACCTTTTCTTTTTCAGAAGATACATCTTCATAAAGGGTTTAAATTAGGGGCCAATACTCAATAATAAAAAGAGAAAGAAGAGCCAGACCCAAACCAAGTTGCTCTCAGAAGCCGGGTCCAACTCCCAGCTTGCAAACTTGAGCCTGTTTCTAAACCTGTTTGAGCCAAAACCTCATCCACGTTCCAGAGATGGTCCAGACTGCAGCTGCACCCCAGCCCAGGGCACAGCCTGCCCCCGACACGCAGTATTTCGCTGTTTGAAGCCCTGCACACGTACAACAGCCCATAGGAACCACAGGAGCGCCAGTGTGGGACATGAGAGGACCCTTCACCATGTTTATGTCATCTGGAGGCTGCTCCTGCTCCCCCTGAAGCGATGTTGCAGTAAGAGACAGAAAAGCAGCGGGAAAAATTTGAGTTTTGGTGCAAGCCCTGAAATCCTGCTCACAGAAACCCCAACCAACACCAGGCCATGATGTCCCCACATCACACCCCCTGCCAGCATCGCCTTCTCACAGGTGACAGCCCCCGTGTCCACATCTTCTGACCCAAGAGATGGCCCCGTGGAGGAAGAGCTGCAGCTCCATCACATTGGGATGCAAGGGCAGAGCTGCGCAGCACCGTCCGTCCCCGCAGCATCATCCATCCCCATGGCACCGTCCGTCCCCGCAGCATCATCCAACCTCACGGCACCGTCCGTCCCCGCAGCATCATCCAACCTCACGGCACCATCCGTCCTCGCAGCATTGTCCCCTGCAGCATCATCCAACCCCACGGCACCATCCGTCCCCTGGCCATGCCTTACCTGGCGCCCAGCGCTGGCTCCATCCACGCCACCGTTCACCGTCCCAGCGAGTCCCGGTGCCGCTCCTGGGTGCGCGGGTGCCAGCAGAGCCGCGGGTTCACCCTGCAATGCAACGCCCGTCGCACCAGGCTTCATTGTGTACTAGCAGCAAACGATTTCAGTTAAGCAATAAACAAACCTTGTAAAAAAAAAATAAAAACTTTAAAAAAAAAATAAAAGACCACATTCTATTTCTTGCACTAAGACCTGTTTTATTAACAAAAATAACGATGCTTTTCTGGTCCTAACTAAACAAGCCACCGCATCAGTAGCTCCCCTTGCCCAGCGCCTGTCTCTCCACGTCCTTCGCACGCGGGCAGGGCTTTGGTTGTCCAACGCAGTCTAAACCCCGTGTCCAACCCCGATCAGACTCCTTCCTTCGCAGTGCAGAGTTTTCAATGTTCGTTCCTCCCGCTCACATCAGAAAGAAAGTATTGGACTGTTTTGTTTTTTTCTTTGATTTGTAAATATATCACCGTCCATCCATCCATCCGTCCTCTCTGTAAAACCTCCTGGTTGGTCTAAAGTATTCTTTGTAT